CAAAACACATTTCATTTCGGCCCAAAGCCCAATAACTATTTATTTTAATCGAAACAAATTTGACTAATTGAATATTTATTTATTAAAAATTTTAGGGTATGTTTTGGGGCGTTACAGTCCTATTGTTCGGACCTTGCAGTTGTTGAAGAAGCATGACATTCGAAGGAACAACAAAGCCAGCACGAGTGCAGTAGCAACATTGGCCTTGCGAAGATATACCGTGCAGAAATTCACACAAGTGTAATTGTTGGTTCATTATTCAACAACCAACTACATAGTGGATTTTGAGGACGTAGAAGGATTACCCCACCTTCGAACCTCATTAAAGTTTGCGTGTCTCTCTCTTTTATCTTTATTCTTACTTGCAATTATATTAACTGTGAAAACTAACCCATCCATATTGATTACTGCTCACTCTACCCACCAACTTCCGCACACAATCTAAAGTTCACAAGAACTCTAGATTAAAACTCATTTTCACGTTTTCAAAAGAAACGAAAAAGTTTTAAATTTTTAACAAAGTCTATTCACCCCCCCCCCCCTCTAGACTTTGTATCTCACCACTTCGGGACCACCAATTGGTATCGGAGCTTACTTCTCACTATCTACATTTAGATTAACGAGAAGCGATCATAATGGTGAACAATATGGATCACGGTTTGCCCAAGTTTTCTCTTCTAGGTTACGATGATTGGAAGATCATGATGGAAGCACATCTCTACGCTCTACATCATTGCATGTGGAGGGTGCTTGAGGATGGACCCTTGAAAATCCAAATGGAGAACCCTGAGAGGAATCTAGCTGCTCCAGATGTAGTCCAGTACATTCCAAAGCCCAAGGAAAAATGGGATGATAGAGATTGCAAAAAGCACAATCTGGACAACGTTGCCAAAGCAGCCATCTTCAAGACACTTGATCCCATCACCTTCTCCAAGATTAAACATCTCAAGACTGCCATGGAGATTTGGCAAGGTCTTGGGAAGCTATGTGAGGGATCAGAGGACCTGAGAAAGCAGAAGATAGAAGTCCTGCTTGAGAAGTTCAAAAGCTTCAAAATGCTTCCCGGAGAATCATTTGATATGTTGGATGAAAGATTCCACAAGATATTGAATGATCTTGCTTCACTTAACCACATTCTTT